CTGAGTTCATCTTTCTGATCTGGGCCACTAAAAGGAATCTTCCAGGAGGGAGTTTGATTGCATCTCTGACTGCTTTAAGGAAGACTACAGGAGTCTGGGTTACCACAGTTTTGGTTGTTTTGGAGGAAAACATGAGATTCACACTTTTTAAAGTGACAAACAGATGTCATCAGACTCATCTGAGAAAATCCTGAGTCTTGCACTGTCCTCTGATCTTGTCTCCAAGGAATAAACACCCCAATTAAGGTGATGTTGTTGACCCACCTGGGCCTTTCTTCCTCCTCTCTTCTGTAGAACCCATCACTGCAAGCACAGTGGTCCATGCCGTTGAGGTGTTTGTTGCATGGCTTCCAGGAACCACACTCAAAGGCTTGAGTGTCTGCTGAGCTGCTCACTGTGTCTGAGGACTGCATCTTCCTCACGGGTTTGCTTGAGGCTGTGACAGGAGTTCCCATCTTAAGGTGGATTCCCACAGGAGAGGATCCTGGGAAATGAATGGATTCCCAAGCACATAAAGATAGCAGGTGAAGAACTGGAGAGGAGGAGTTTGGTGTGTGGGAAGACAGTGGTCCTGAGAGGATGGTGACTATGACAGCCGTCCTGCAGTAAGGACGACCAGTCTGCCTAGTGGGATTTTCTCCTTGTGGTTCCAGAGATGGGGCAGAAGAGGGCAAAGGAGTCTAAGTGAACGGATGCTCTCTAGTGCAGGGTGTGCTGTACAGAACACACAGACACTGTTTGATTTGATGCTGAGAATCTTTTGAGGGAATTCTTTGGTTCAGAGAGGACAAATGACCCATCCCAGAAATTCATTCAATTAAAGAGTCACACCCACACAGGAGTCTCATAGGAACAGATCATCCAACACTGCTACCTTCCTGGGATGTATGGTTGTTTGGAAATACCAGGGAGGTAGGTTTAAAGTCAGTGGACAGAGAACGAATAGGTCGTTGTTTTCACATGAGAAATCCTCTCCACATACATATTTGAACAGAGGAGGTATCATCAAATATACTTAATCAGAGGAGCATCAGCTAAGAGTGGAGACCTGGGATCTGAATTATCTGTGTTCCTCAATTAACTAACAAGATGCTGTGTGGTCACTTCCTTTCTGGGTCCTCCTTCCATTTCATGGCGGTGGGTAGTATATATTTTCTTCTTTAAACATTTTTCTTTTGTTAACCATGATATTTACATGAAATAAAAGTAAAAGCCATAGCAAATATTTAATACTCATGGTCCTCTGTAATTAAAAGATATGAGGTAGGTTTCTTTATTCTTTTTCTCCTTCACCCTTTATAGGCAGCTCCAGAATTGGAATGCTCTAAGGTGTGATGGAATCTGAATGGCAAGTTCTGGTCTAGCAGGACAATCCTGTAGGAACCATGTGATGGGAAGTACTGGAGAGCTGGGAACTGAGGCCTGTGGATCAAGCAGTCTGCTGTTGCTGCTTTGTAGTAGAATCCTGAGCACCCCGAGCTCAAAGCCCTTTGTGGTGAGGATACACCAGGAACCAGCATCTGTGGTAAAAATGAATGTGAACCTTGACTGGAATCCATTTCCTTTTCAAGTTTAATATTTTATGTATGTATGTATGTATGTATGTATGTATGTATGTATGTATGTATGTATTTATTTATTTATTTTATGGCTGGACCACAGTTTTCCATCCCCCATCTCCTCCCAGTCCCTGACATCACCTCTTCTCTGATCACCCTTCCCCCACTCCTCTTCTGTATCTATTCAGTAAAGAGCAGGCCTTGAGTGGATATCTACCAAACATGGTATATCAAGTTTCAGAAAAACTTAGCACCTTGCCTTGTGTTAAGGCTGGACAAGGGGAGCCAGTAGAAGGAACACGATACAAAAGTCAGCAAAAAGGTCAGAGACAGCACCTGTTCCTTCTACTGGGATTCCCATAAGAGGAGCAAGCCACACAACTGTCACATATATGCACAGTCAGTCCCATGAAGTCTCCCTGGTTGTCGGTTTGGTCTCTATGAGCTCCTATGAACCCAGGATTGCTGATTCTGTGGATTTTCTTGTGATGTCCTTGACTCCTCTGACTCCCACAGTCCTTCATTTCTCTCTTCAGCAGGATTCTCTGAGCTCAGCCTAATGTTTGAGTGTGGGTCTCTGTATCTGTTAACTGGAATCCATTTTTGGCATTCAAAAGTTAAGAAGGGTCTTCTGAAGAGGCTAGTAAGTAGTCCAGGTATTATTGTAAAATGGAACTAGCAAGTGACAATATTTTAGTTTTCTAAACAGAAAAAACATGGCATCATATTTTAACAAATTATATGTGAGGTCCATATTCCTTATGTATATGTATATATATTATTAATCTATTTACTTTACATCCTAGCCACAGTGTCTCCTCCATCCTCCCATCAGAGTATCCCAGTTGTCCCCACAACCCACCCCCAATCCTTTTTTCTTCAGTTTCTATCCAGGGAAGGGCAGGCAGGTCTCCCATGAGTATCAATAAAACTTGGTATATCAAGTTGCAGTAAGACTACGCATCTCCCCTTGTATTAAGGCTGGACAAGTCGATCCAGTATGAAGAGTAAGGTCCCAAAAGTGAGTAAAAGTCAGACAGTCACTGTTTCTGCTGTTAGGAGCCCCACAAGAAGACCAAGCTACACAACAGTCACATATATGCAAAGTGCCTAGGTCAGTTCATTTCAGGCTTCCTGGTTGTCTGTTCAGTGTCTGCTAGCCCCTAGGATCCCAGGTTAGTTGATCGTTTGAGCCTTCCCATGGTATCATTGATCTAGGCAACATACTAGAATTCTTCTCCTATGAAACCCCTTGATCCAGACTCCTACAGGTCAAATATTCCATGGTCCCACTAGTATGGTCCATCAAGCAGTGCTTAAAGGATTGCACTGCTTTCCTAACCCAAAGCAGCAAAGTTCAAATTCCTCCAAAGAAACCCATGGCAAGCCTATGAAAACAATACCCTACTCCTGGTACCAACTTCTGCCTTAGGGTTTCTATTGCTGTGAAGAGACACCATGATGACAACATCTTTTATAAAGGAAAATATTTTATTTGGGAGGCTTACAGTCCATTATCATCATGGCAGGAAACATGGTGGCATGCAGGCAGGCATGGTGCTAGAGAAGGGTCTAAGATTTCTACATCTTGATCCAAGGGCAACAAGAAGTCAACTATCTGTCACACTGAGCAGAGCTTGAGCAAAGACCTCGAATCCTACCCACAAGTGTCATATTTCCTCCAACAAGGCCACTTCTTCTAATAGTGCCATTCCCTATGAACTTATGGTGACAATTACATTCAAACCTCCACAGATTGGAAAAGATAGGTAGTAAATAAGGGGAATGTTGAAATAGAAAGGTTAGGCTGGAAGAGAGGCAGGGGATGGGAGCTGTAGGTTTGGGCTGGAGGGAAGAATTAAGTGAGATAAAGAAAGAATAAAGCAACCATATGGAAAGCCAGGTGGGCAATAGCAGCTTCACTGTTTTGAGGATAGCCAGCTGTCTTCTGATCAGATTCAAGATCCACAGCATGGGCTGCAGGGGACGCTGCCTGGTGCTGTAAGCCTGGCTTATAACCTACAGGGGAGGCATAGGCCCATGTGGGGAGTGCATTTCTGATTATTAACTGAACTCACACAGCAGCAAACTGACTTCCAAATACCAGGGGTTTCCCCCATAGATAAAAGTGTCTTCCAGCCTCAATCAGAGATGCTGCTCCCTATGGTGAATGCTGGTTAATGCCGAGATCATTGCTGCCCAAGATGCATAAAAATGTGATGGTTGTGAGTCCATCCGCAATCAAGTCATTATACCACCCCCTCTAAGGCTCAGGCCACATTATGGGAGAGGGCATGGGAAGTATGAAAGAGCTGGAAAGTAGGATGAAGGGCTTCATAATTTCTTTACCTAGTCTTGATAGAATTATTGCAATAATCAGTTCAGACCAACTGCAGTTACCAGCACTGGCTCATATAAGAGCAGTCCTGTCAACAATCAGTCAAGAAATGGGGAGGGGCTTGTAGACCCCATTCTTTAGCTCTGAACTATTGGCTATTTATAGTCTGGGAGAGGAGGAAATCAATATCTTGAGCTGTATATCTACTGCTGAGCCTACAAGGATAGAGCCAAATCCACAATTACACAGTTGACCTTTTTAATGTAAAACTAATACAAAGATATAAATGTGTGTGAGAGAGAGGTTTGTGAGGAGAGCCTAAGGTATATAAATATGTTAGGGAGGTGAGAGTTTTTGAGAATGTTCAAGAAGCACAGAACACGTGTGAGAAATTATATAAAAATAGTTATTGGGTTGCCATCCATGACTAGGTGCACGAGCTGAACGAGACAGTAGTTGTTCAGTGGATTAGTGGTGACTCAGCTCACACCAGGGCTCGGGGACAAGATGTAAACACATGTATATGAGAGTGCTGAGCTGGCCCTGCTGCACTGGAGGTGACTGTACAGGTCTAGGCACACAACATTGATCCTCTGCTAAAGCTCCTGATCTGGGTGATGGAGCTGTCATGTGTCATCGCCTGAGTCCTTGTGGGCAAGGTAAAGAGAGGTGGATGCAGTTCTGAGATGAGAGGACAGCTGGGGAGAAGGCCTTGGGGTGCTGGACCAGGAGACCTGGGAGGAGCCTGAGAGAACAGTGTACTTCCTAGGACTGTAGAAATTCCTTAGAGGAATGGGTAGAGTGGGAGGTAAGGGCTTTTGATCTTTCCTTCCCTTCGTAGTCTGTGAAATTTGGAGAAGAATTTGGAAAGGAAAAAGGCATCCTTGTCAGACAGTTCTCTCCAGGACTATATAAGTGCTGTTCGAATGCATCATTTCACAGTTAGGAGCAGGCTTAGTGAGAAGTATTTGGAGATAGTGCCCATGAGACGAGTAGAGGGTGAAGAAGAGGCTGGTGAACAAAATTGTTAGAGATGGGCTTTTACAGAACAGACTGATGTCATCTCTTTTGTGAATACAGATTTCTTTATTAAGATTCAGGTAGCTGTACCCCAGGATGTTGGATACTACCCTAGACACAGGGCTTGTCATCTAGGGTTGTTGAAGAAGTTTCATTTTTTCTTGAATCCAACGTAGAAAGCTACAGATTCTGGTGAATGCCCGAGGAGGTTTTATAGTATTAAAGTTACGATTGACAATGCCCTGGGCCACATTGTGACACACAAAGGGTCCCCCTGAATCTCCCTGTGGATGGAAAAATGAGAAGTCTTAGTAAATATCATCACCTCTTACCAGACT